AGAAACATTTTTATTACTTCCCATTCTTTGATGTCAGATGAGCAAATTTTATAACTTGATATTACCTGTGGTCAATTAAGAACTTTATGATACAAGTATTTTTATTGTTAGAAGAATCCTTTAGGGTTTGCTGTTATCATTGTTGAAAGCAGCAGTTGTTCAGCCTATTACCAAGGTAGTTCTCTGGAAGAATTTAAGAAGAAAAATAAAATCTCTCAATTCTTGAGAAATCAGATGATCTTTCAAGGTGATCTGTAATCAGAATATTTTAATTAAGGAAAGTTAAAAACCAAAATACAGCCTATTAGAATTTGCCAGTTCTATTTAGTCACTGAGTTTATCCTAATTTCCTAATTTTAGCTACATACTGGTTTATGTAATGGTGTTGTGGCTAGAGGATATGATTTTGTTTTTTTTAACTCTGTAAGACTAATAGCTTTGTTCTTTTTTGTTTGTATTTGTTTTTGGGTTTTTTTTGCTTTTTTGTTTTTGAGACAGGGTCTCACTATGTAGTTGAGACTGACCTGGAACTCACTATGTAGCGCAGGGCTGGTCTCAATTCACAGCAATCCTCCTGCCTCAGCCTCCCCAGTGCTTGGATTACAGGTGTGTGCCACCACGCCTGGCTAGCTTTGTTCTTAAATAACTGAAAAGTTACCTGAACTTGATAGGAAACCTACTGATTTTAGAAAAATATTAGGATATGTTAGAATACCCTGCAATCCATATGCGTTAGCACCATTACAAACTATTTCTGGAAGGTAAATTTCATACTGACAAAAGGCTGGTGGTGGGTCCTTTGCCTTCAGTCTCTAGTAACACATTTAAGTTTTTGCATTAACATGAATCTAATGATTTGTAGATGTTGTAAAACAAAGGAAATGGGGGCCTGGGATTTAGCTCAGTGGTTCTGGTGCCTGCTTTGCAAGCACAGGGACCTGAGTTCGATCCCTCGTACCAAAAAAACAAAAACAAAGGAAATGGTTTTTCAGTGATTATAGTTTCTCAGTACAACGTGGAAGGGGAAGTTTAAACAGTTTGTACTCCTGAGTTTATTTTAGAAGGGTAGATGGTTCTGGAGTCTTTCAGAAAAACGTGATAGACTTTGTAATTCATTTTGTAAAGCACTCGTGATTTTTTTTTTTTTCTTTTTTTCTTGTATCTGGATGAAACTCAGGATCTTGTGCTTGTGAGGCAGGCATGGTGCTACTGAGCTGAATCCCTGGCCCTAAGAATGTTTTGTTTTTGTTTTTAATAAGTTTTATGACCTGCATTTAGGCCCTTTTATAATCTGAGACTCTGCTTCTTAAATTAAAAAAAAATTTTTTTGAAAGACATTTTAAATATCCTAGGAGAAAATAAAAAGATCATAATCTGTTCTTCCAGAAAATAAGGTAGTTGGACACATGTGTACCAAATCTTGTAACCTCTGTTAAATTGAGTTGCTTGTCCTAGGCTGGTGCCCTGGTCTCTTTCCTTGCCTGTGCATGGATATGATGAAATCTATGATGACTGTTTGGTACTATACCTAGATGCTTATTCTCTGCTGTCCTCAGCTGTTTTGCTTACATTTAAATATTTCTAGCAACCTGTAATTCTTACCTTCTCCCTTAAAATTAAACTAGTACAGTGATCAAATCTAGAAACTCATTTCACTCAATGGAGAAATTCTGTTTCTGAGTTGAAATTCTGAGTTGAATTTGTTATCAGAAATTTTATATTGTCTGTAACTATTCATAGGCATCAAATCCAAGTTAGGATTTTCACATCAGCTCAGAAGGTGAAAACCTGTTACTCCTGCAGTGTACCTTGTTGAACTTCCTCTTTGCTGTTAAGAGTTGTCACTATGGTTTTGGGGGGCTGCAGAGAAGGGAAGAGAATATCAGGGTGGGTGAAGAAAGGAGCGGCAAAACACACTACTTTGGGATTAATTCCCACACCTTTCCCACTTATTACATGTGTATATCTAGGGTTCTTATGTAGTCCTTTAAAAAAAAACTTGATTGATTGATTGGTCTTTTCTGTTGTTGTTACCAGGGATTGAACTCAGGTCCTTGCTCTTGCAAGGCAGGTGGCAGAACCATGGAGCTAAATCCCTGGCCCTTTGATTGGTCTTTTGAAACAGGGTCTCACATGTAGTTCAAGCTGGCCTTGAACTCACTATGTAGCCTAGGCTGGCCTCAAACTGGCTGCAATCCTCCTGCCTCTCAGCCTCCCAAGTGCTGGGGTTACATTCCTGTGCTACTACACCTGACTTTCAAGTAGTCCTTTTTTAATGTTGTTTTTTTTTTTAGTGAATTACTCAGAAAAAATATGCAGTGATCAGAGTCCTTTATGAAAGTTCAGGATTAAATTTTCCCTTGAAGATTGTTTAGCTATTGCTGATTTCAGGTCCTTACCTTGTTTGTGGCTGCCTGCTAATTTCTCTAAAGTAGAGAACGCAGACTGAACAGTGCTGTGTTCCACTTGAGAGCGCTCTTCAGTTCTCAGGTTTGCACTGATCCAAAAAATTCCAAAGATTGTGTTAGTCTTCTTGGCTTTTGTGCATTCCGCCTGAGGCCTTCGTATTTGCCATCTCTTCTATCCAGAATGTCTTTACCCTGTTCTTCCCTCAAATGAGACTGATCCATTAGAATTCAGGTTACATGTTAACCCCTCCAAGTTGCAATGTGATCCTCTGTGATCCCATGACATTGTGCGTATCTCAAGTACTGTAGTCTGCTATTGGCATTGCATTGAAGCTGTCTCATTTCCTTCTCTTTCTTTCTTTCGCTTCATTTTGGTATGATTGGTGAATAGAAATTATGTATATTCAAGGTATACAATATGTTTTTTTAATCTTATCGGGTTTATTGGTACTTTTTAAGTATACAGTACAGTTAGATTCATCATTGGGATCTTGTACCCTTACGTGACAGATTTGGATTCTAATTTTTTCCACATACCCCTGCCCTTCCTTCACCCTCCCCTATTTACAAGACTTTGTTTCCATTTTTTTCCTTTTCTCATATTTTTTCTTGTCCCTTATTTCCTTTCCCCTACTCTTCACACTTCCCCTGCACCTTTAGCCCTTCCTATTTCACATTAAGGGTATACAATATGTTTTCATATACATTATGAAGTGATTGCTACAAATATGTTAATTAATGTATTCCATCACTTAACAAAAATAGCCAGCAGATATATGAAAAGGTGCCAGCATCACTGATCATTAGAGAAATACAAATCAACACCAAAATAAATATTTTTTATCCCTCTCCTTATTTAGACACATACCCTTTGAAGGCAGGAGCTGTTTTATTCATCCTGTACCCAATGATCAGCACAGATCTAGGTATTTTAAATGCTTGACAAATTAATAAAGAATGTTGGATAGCAGAAAAAAATAGACTGATATTAACACAGTCATTAGGTAATTTAGGAGATACACCATAAAACCATTTTTGTTAACACATTCTTTCAAATTTATTTTGCGATGATTTTCTTTTGTTATTGCAGATTTTTTCCATAATGATATAGCTTTACTAGTATTTTTACCATAAGTGATATACGCTTTTATAGAAAATTAAAAGAAAATGTGAACATACAAAGAGGAAATCTCACTGAGAACTTAACTACCATTTAAAAAGTGCATTTAAATACAGTATGAGCTTAAATGTATGCTGCTCAATTTTCAGGTTTAAAATTTTGCTTCTAAAAGAATTGTTTTAAGGGTTCAGAATTTAGCTCAGTGGTTCCGGCACCTGCCTCACAAGCGCAAGGGCCCAAGTTCTAGCCCCATACCAAAAAAAAAAAAAAAAACCCCAAAAACAAAAATTGTTTTAACAAATAGCATGAGAATACCTAGTTTAATATAATGAGGCCAATACTTTTGTTTTACATTGCAAGGTAGCTTCCTGTCTCAGGTAATGAAGTGTGCTTTTCTCTAAAATATCCGTGCACTCTTAGCTTGGGATCCAATCTGCTAACTTATTACACAACCCTTGCTTTCTGTCATACCCTTCATTTAACATATATATACCACTCTGTGTGTGCTTTGACCATTCTTTAGTGGTGGAGCAGTTTAGGTTTGGAAACTAATGCTAAGAATCTACAAGAAAGAAATAATCATTTGTGAAAGCCAAGAATGTCTTTTTTGCTGGGTCAGGTGGTGCCCACCTGTAATCCCAGCGCGCAGTTGATAGAGGTAGGAGGGTCACCATGAGTTCAACCTGGGCTCCATAGTGACCTCAAGGCCAGCCTGAACTACATAGCAAGACCTGTTTCAAAAAACCAAAAAAAAAAAAAGGTTTTTTTGGGAAGAAACTTTTTTTTAAGACTGGTTTGGGATTCTTTTTTTTTCTCAAGTATGGCCACACTAAATAATAATTTCATTTGTTTTTTCTGGTGCTGGGAATAGAACCCAGGGCATCATTCATACTAAACAAGTGCTGTACCACTCAATTGTATTCCAGCCCTAAGAGAAACTTCTTGTTTATTCCCCATGTCTTGCTCACACCTCCTGTAGCCACTGAGATAATTAACATGCAGTTTGCAGAAGCAGATCTTCCAGATATTCTTCTCTATATGTGTCGCCTTTTCCTTTTCTCTTTATAATCAGGAGTCTTCATTCCATTCTCCACTCCCATTCCAGCTTCATCAGGTTTATTTTTTAGAAGAAATGTGCTTTTTTATCTTTTTCCTCTTGTGTATTCTTTTGGTAACTGTCCACTTCCATTTTGTGGCATGTCTCTTTACAGGGAATGATGCAAGTGTACATTCTACAAAGTGAAGTTTTGCCCCCAAAAACCCAGACTGTGTAACTGAATGGATTAGGTGGATCAATTTTTGATATCCTAAAACATCCTGTAGTAGCAATAGATTTTAGCCTTCAGTGTGATGTAAGAATGGTAAGAACTATTGACTATCTTTTATAGGTAACAGGTCTTTCTATCTCCTGAGTTCCTATAAGTACCCTTCCTAAATGCTTTTTGCTCCACATTCTTACTTTTTTATTTTAGATCACAGATTCTGCTGGCCATATTCTATACTCCAAGGAGGATGCATCCAAGGGGAAATTTGCCTTTACCACTGAAGATTATGACATGTTTGAAGTGTGTTTTGAGAGCAAAGGTAAGTACTGCAGTCCAAATGTTTTGTCTGGATTAAGCTTCTCTTCTCCAGCTCTGCAGTGTCCTGTGCTATAGGTAGCACTTGATTTCCAGTTTCATTTTGTTTCTTGTTCTGATATGGAGTCCTCATGCCATTTAGCGTTTGCAACATCTTTGAAAAGATTTTCTAGGTACAGTAAAAGATTGGTGAAGTAGAGCACAGAGGATTTTTAGGACAATGAAATTACTCTGTGATACTGTAGTGATGAATACATATCATTATACATCTATCCCAGCATCACATCTGGAATACACACCTAATGTAAGCTGTGGGCATTGGGGGATGATGTTGGATCTGTGTGGGTTTATCAATTATAATAGGCTCCCCACTTGTTGATCATGGTGGTCTATGCATATGCAGAAGTGAGAAAAACTAGGACATCTCTGTACCTTCCTCTCCAATTTGCTGTTAACCTGAAACTGCTCGAATAAAATTAAATCTGTTTTTTTAAAAAAAGATTGTCTATTTTCCAACCAAATGCAGAAAGAGATAACACTATTACTGGAAGTGTCTTTTTACAAGAGACCTGTTAGGGCCATGATGTCGGCTAAGGGAATATGTTGCCTATGTAGTCTTGACCCAGACCAGCCAGAAGTCTGTGGTTTTGTGGTTTCATTTGGACTTGAAAAATGCTAATACTGTGCTCTGACAGATAGATAATCAGAAGACTGTTGTTAAGAAGAGAGTACTGATCATTTGGACTAGGTAGGACTTGGAACTACTTGGGTTCCACAACTTTTTAACTGAGGAAGGAAAAGCCAAAATTTGCAACAAAAATACATCTCTGGGTAATGTCATAATCTGGATTACACTTTGGGTTTAGAAAAGGTTCTTCTAGTGTCACATTTGATTTGGCTTGGTTTAGTTTGGTTTGGTTTTGGAGACTTGTTTAATGTTCAGAAAGCATCTGTGGCTTATTTTAGTCTGTTCCTAGTCTTAAGTTTGTGGTCTTAATTCTCTTGCTTTAAAATTGACTTTTCTGGGCCGGGGATTTAGCTCAGCGGTTTGGTGGCCTGCCTTGCAAGCACAAGGACCTGAGTTCGATCCCCGGTACAAAAAAAAAAAAAAATTGACTTTTCTACCTAAACACAGTGACAAACACCTGTAATCCCAGTGGGAGCTGAGGAAGGATAATCAGAGGAAGTTTAAGGCCTACCTGGGCTACCCAGTGAGTTCAAACCAGCCTGAATGATATAGAGAGACCCTGTCTCAAAGAAAGAAAAAAAAAAAGAAGAGAGAAACGAACTCACCTTTGTACTCCATCCAAAAGAAGTTCTTCATTGTTGCTTTGTTTGGTTTGGTTTTTGATCTTTTGAGGCAGGGTCTTTCTGTGTTGTCCAGACTGGCCTTGAATTCACTGTGCAACCCAGAATAGCTTTGATCTTACAGTGATCCTCCTACCTCAGCCTCTTGAGTGCTAGGCTTATGGGCATGCACCTCTATTCCCAGCAGTTTACTGTCTTCTATGCCATACATGGTAAAGCCTTTGCCCATGCTTTGTCTTCTAAAATATTTTATTCAGGTTCTTCCTTGAACCAGGTGTTCTCTCCTTAATGAAGTTAATCCACAATTCATCTCCTTCCTCCTCTTTGTCCACAGCTGGGGTCATCTGAGCCAGTAGTTTTGGCTTAAAATTTTACAATGCTTTTGCTGGGCACACCCCTGTAATCACAGCTGCTTGGAAGGCTGACGCAAGAGTATTTCAAGATAAATTGCCCAGCCTGGGCAATTTAATAGGCCCTATCTCAAAATTAAAAATAAAAAGGGGATGGGGATAGCTCAGTGGTAGAGCACTTGCCCAGTGAGGGAGGCCCTGGGTTTGATCTTCAATACCACCAAAAAATTTTTTAGAGTGCTTTGAATTTTCACTGTAGCTGTCATGTGTGTGTATATCTTTGTTTCTTTTGTTTTGAGATAGGGTCTCTAGCTCAGGCTGGCCTCAAATTCATAGCAGTCCTCCTGCCTCAGCCTCCCAAAGACTGGGATTATAGGCATGCACCACTACGCCTGGCTCTGTATGTCTTAGACCTCATCAAATTATTTGAAGGCCAAGATTGTATCTTTTAAAAGACTCCAGAACAGTTCTAGCTTTCAGTGAATTTTCAGTGAGTGATTTTGTTTATTAGGTGCTTGAAATTGAACCCAGAGGCTCAGGCTTGCTAGATAGTTGTTCTGCTACTGAGCTTTACCCCCAATACCACTCCCTTTTTAAAAATGTACATACATTTATTGATTGATTGAGACAGTCTTGATAAGTTGCCCAGGCTGCCCTTGAACTTGCAGTCTTCCTGTCTCAGCCTTTGCAGTAGCTGGTATTACAGGTCTGCACCACCATACCTGGCTTTCAGTTAATAGGTTTTTAATTGATTTTAGTCCATTTCAGAAAAATCTCAATGTCTCAGGCAGCAGAGGGTACAGTGCCATTCATTCTCTGGCTTATGTTTTCAAGAATCCATGTGCTTAACTGGTACTATATTCCCCAAAATTTCTAATTTTGTGCAGGCAGTTTTTTATTTTATAAATAGGTTAAATCCAAGGAATTGAAGATGAGTGGTTTTCTAGGGTTCTTTAAGTCTCCCTTTATCGTACTGGGTGACTTAAAATTAGAATTACTTTTGATCAAATTGAATCAGATTAATTTTTCTAATATGAATGTTGCATTACTGACCCTTTTATTCCAAATAGACATTTTTCTACCATTTGTGGTACATTTGCCTGTAATCCCAGCACTAGGGAGGCTGAGGCAGAAAGATAGCCACATACATAGTGAGTTCAAGGCCAGCCTGAGCTACATAGCAAGGCCCTATCTCCAAATAAAACAAACACAAACCAAATAGACATTTTTAAAAGAAGTATTCCTGAGAATTGTACTGTCACTATGAAATATTTTTTTCTTGAACTTTTTTTAACTGTTAGAAGAGCCCTATAACAGGGAATAGCCCTATCTATAGCATTTTATTGGCCTTTGAAATAGGCCTTACATTGATCAAAATAATTGAATTAAAGTGGAATAGTTGATAAAAGCTGCATTTTTCCTAGAACTCAAGTTTATGGTAAGTAAAGCCAAATTTATCTTATATCCAATAATCCTAATGAGCATGGCCTCTCAGTTTGACAGTGACCTCTCTTCAGATGTGGAAATGTGCATTTCCAGCCTAAATTGATACCTGCACCCTGCTGCTCTGTATGCCACTCCATTTCACATGGTTGGGGCTTTGGAGTTTTATTTCCCTGACCAATGAACCTGTGTGTTTTCTCCTCGATTCTTTTTCTCTATAGTTCAGTTGAAGATCTTATGTCCTCCCTGCTCAGAGATGTTTGGCAGCAGCATGTTCTCGCCACTTTCCGGCATCCCACACAGATAGAGGCTTTGTCTGGAATGTTTGTGATTTTAGCCAGAGCCAGGAATTTTCTGCAGCTGAGTAGTGGGAGGAGTTCTGGCTGTTTCCCTCTTTCCAGAGGAGAGGGTTAGGGAAAGGAAGGGTGGGCGGGTGATTTCCCGGAATTTTAAATATTCTACACAATGAATCTTTTGATTTCTTTCTCAGGCACAGGGCGGATACCCGACCAACTTGTGATCCTAGACATGAAACATGGAGTAGAGGCGAAAAATTACGAAGAGGTATGTGCTGTTGTGATAGCCAGAGGAGGCAATAGCGTATGGTGCAGCGTGAGGTTTCTGTGACCTGCTCAGGCCACTGGCCTGTGCTTTGCCCAGAAGGCTGGTTTTCTCAGCAATCACGTGATAACCAGCAATGATCTTATTGATACGAAAAGTTGTTAACAGCTTTGAACAGCCAAGGGACTGAACCAGCTGTCCTGTACAAGTGTCTGTTGGTGTGATAAAACTCAAAGCATATGTCTTTAGCTCTCTTAAGGCAGAAACTAGATAGTAACAGTTACACTTCTTAAAAGCTGGGATCCAGTTTACATGTTAACAACCAAGGCTAAGGAAAGTGATTTTTGTTTTGTTTTTGGTACCTGGGATCAAACTTGGGACCTTGTACTTGTGAGGCAGGCGGTGGTGCCACTGAGCAAAAGCCCCAGCTATTTGTTTTTAATTCCTAAAATTTCTTCTCCCAGAACTGACAGCCAGGCATGGACTCAGTGCTGTTCAGGTCTGAACAACTGTGGTGTCTTTCAGAAACAACAATATAAACAATAGCTTTTAATTAAAATAATTCCAGACTTTAAAGAGGAGGACAGGATAGAGGAAAAAGCTGCAAGAGGCAGAGGATGGTGCTGCTGAACAGCGACTGGATGCTGTCTGGGAGTATTACAGAATAATAAAAAATGGTATTTATTTCAAAGAAGTGGAGGAGTGCATGAGCTAAGGAGAAGGATGTGCTGGGAATCTAATCCAGAGCCCCACACGTGCTAGACAAGGGCTTCACCACTGAGCTACACCCGAGCCTGAGTATTTTTCACCTCTATATGAGAGACTGGGGACAGCACAGAATAGTTTTCAAATAAAGAGCACCTTTGAAAAGCACAAGAACAATTCAAGAGCGCAGAATTGATGTTTACAGACAAATAGAGTTTTTAACCCAGTATTGAGAGCATGAAGAAGTCAGTACGGGAAATGTAAACTAAATAAATGAAAGTTGTTTTTTAAATCATTGGGGAGAATTTTCTAGGAATGATGGACAAGAGAAGTTGCTATAACTTGTCAGTACTTTAGAAGAGAAATATCCTAAAATGGAAGAAGTTTGGAAGTGACTGGTTATTTCTGCAATAGGAAGTGAAGTAGTAATAGAGTAATTACAGCTCTTTGGGTCTTTCCTCTTTTTCCTTGTTCAAGTGTTCAATTGAATGAAACCAAATAGAGGCACTTGGAGGTAATAAATAGGAGCAAATGATACAATACTGAAAGGAAGACAATTCCTGGCAGAGATTTTGAATTGCTTGTTTCTCCAGGCTAGTTTAATTGAAAGTAATACAGCAGGACAGTCTCTTTATTTGATAAATTTAAGAGTTTGACAAATCTTTTTAAATCTTGGTGATAAGAAACCATTATATTTAAATAAGAAGATATGTGTTAAAGTGCTGTTGTAAGATACAAAACAATAATAAAAATGTTGTTGTTATATGAGGAGCGAGAATAGGTGAAATGACTTCCATTTTTTTATTTACTACTGCCATTTCCAACCCTGAGCCATTTTCTAAGCAAGCTTTTGTTGTATTCCTACTATATGGGTTTTACCTATTTTAACCTTGTTGTCCAAAATGATTGGCTGTCATTAGGGATATTTATTAAATGACAGGCACCAATACCCTGTTAGACTTGAGACCTAGTTTTTCCTCTCGAAAACAGGTTATATTATTGTGGCTTTACATAAAGAATGATGTAAACACCACTGTCACATACTTTAGACCCCTATGCTTCCTGGAATTTTGGGCTCTGGTAAAGGGGCTTTATCTTTTTTGACCTTCTGCCTAACCCAAGAGAGGGGAATCCCTAGCAGAAAGGAAACCACATTGCTTCCTCCTTTGCCTGCTTCCTGCTTTTGGTGTCTGGTACATCCTAACCCTTTCTTTACGCACATGGTTACAACACAGCTCTAAGTTTTTGCTTCTTCACCACCACAGACTCCTCCCTCCATCTTTCCTTAATGGCCTGACTCCCAGTCCCAAATAGTACACCAGACTGAGGTAGAGAAGGACAGACGGTAATGACACAAACCAAAGACAGTCCCCCACCCCCGCACCAAGAATTGAACTCAGAACCTTGCGCTTGTCAGGCAAGCGTGATGCCACTAAGCTAAATTCTCAGCCCTAAAGACAGCCCTTTCTCACTCTGTGGCCAGGGTCCCTTGAACCTTGATTATAACTAACTCCTAGTTGTCCCTGGCCTACTAATGCATATGACAAGAACATGGACAATAGAAGCACTGTGTTCCCTGTTTAATTGCTAGAAAGTATTGAGCGTAAGGCATTTAATTTTAGGCCTTTGAGATAATAAATTTATGCCAGGAATTTGGACCCGTTGGCATCAGTATTAAGACTCAGAAAGGTAGACTGTTTCTTTGACTTTCTTCACATCCAACACATCTGTCCTTTGTGCATGTGGACTCATAATTCTGAAATCACATGTGAGCCCGTAAAATTCAGTAGTAATCAGGGTCTTAGTATCTGGGCAGAGTATCACATTACCTATCTAAAATCTTAGATTATTTAGTTAGTTAACATATGAAATTGCTGTATAAACACAATACAAATATGAGCTTTTATTTGGAAGATAAAATAATTGCCATATTATAGAGAAGCATAAAATCTTTTAGTTTGAATTCTTAAGGAGGAAGAATGCTTATTCCCTGAAAATTTTTCAATTCCATGTGTTGTGTTATAAGGACTCCTGACCATTTTCTTGCTTTTGTTCTTCAGAAAGGCTCATCTTCCGATTGAATATGTGAATCAGTCCATTTCATCTTACTTTGAGCTTCTGCAGGATGCACTGTTTGACTGTGCATTTGAGCAATGGAAGCAGCGACTATCCCACAGAGGAGGTCTCTGACATGTCCTCTGACTCCTGAGCTGTATGTGTCCCTTTCTGCTGTGGACGTCAGTGTTTTCATAAGTCCTGTTTTGTCTAGGGCTTTGATTAGCCTATTTTGCTGTCAGCAGATACACCAAAACACAGCACTGATTGGAGCCCCAGCTGAAGACTTTCCCAGAGTTCTTTTTTGCTGAATGTCCTCAGGAAGGAGGAACTCTAGGAGGGATCCAGAATCCCTTTCTTGACTTAAGTTCAGTGAAAGAACATTAGTAAGGCACCTAATACCTAGCTGGTCAGTTCAGTGAATTTTGACTCTTTCTACCCGTTGTGAAAATGACCAAATGTCCGTGACAGAATAAACAAGGTCTTTTTAAAATTTCTCTAGCCCTAAGCTTGGCGGTTTTATCTGTGCTTACTTTGGCCCCATCCTGAAATTTTGAACTTATGTGATTAGTAGACCTGTGATTCATGTGACCCCTATTGCCAGGAGCAAATGGATTTGTCTTTGGATATCTTTCTGTTGTCTCCCCGCTGATTGTGTTAGACTAGATGGTCTTTATATTTCCTGCTGTGCCCTGGAGTTCGTGGAGGCCATTGTGGGGAATATGGAGGCAGTAAACTAACTTAACTGAATTTGGCGTGCCTTGAGAATTTTCTCATGTTTTGTTTGTTTGCTTGCTTTTGTAGCAGAAGATTGAACCCAGGGTCTTTGCACTGAGATAACCAGGCCTTTTTTTTTTTTTTTTTTTTTTTTTCTTGTGAGACAGGGACTTATTATGTATTTCAGGCTGTCCTTGCACTGACTGTGTAGCCCAAGCTGGCCTCAAACAGTGGTCCTCCTGCCTCAGCCTCCCAAATGTTGGGATTACAAGTGGGCACCACTACACTTAGCTCTAAATTTTTATTTTTCTTGGTACATGTTTGTAGTACATAATGATTACATGCCCTGTGGGGAGTTGGCACATGTACATAACAACTCATAATTCTTTTTTTCATCCTTTTCCTCTCCCCTCCTTTCCACTTGTGTTTTATTTTGAGACAGGGTGTCACTAAATAGCCTGGCTGATCTCAGATTTGTAATCCTCCTGCCTCAGCCTCCCAGAACTATAGGCATGTGCTCTTGAAGCTCCATCAAAGAAATGAATCTAGAGAGTCTCTAGAAGATGGATTCTCATCTGTGTTTTAGGAAGCAATTATTGGCGAGTTAATACCTTTCCTTGGTAGTTACATGTTACTGAACTCTTTGAATCATTAGAGCGATAGATTTGGATATGGTTTAGGAAAAGTTTGGTCTGCTATTTTTCAGGTGTTATGCACGGTTTTTCTAAGCAGCGCTCACTCACATGTGAGTGATAGGTACTGTGGTGGAAAGGGTTTTCTCCTGAGTAGTGGGCCTCATGCATATGAGTGCCGAGTGGAAATAAATGCAGTGTGCTGTAGCATGTAGGAAGCACTTGCTTTAGGAGGCCAGCAGCACTTACCTACTATAAGAAGCTTGTCTTTTTTGAAAATAACGCGAACAAGTCAGTTATAATTGTGACAGTTTGTTAATATGACAGATGCAGCAGATGATTGTTAATTGTGTGGCACAATCTAAATGCTGTAAGGCTGCAGGGAAGAGGGAATCAAAATGGATAGGAATGGTTGAAGGTCCTTCATGATTATGGCCCAAAAGAGGATTGGGTGCAGGGAGTGTGTGTGCTTCTGGAAGGCAGGGGTTCTATTCTTGTGTTTTACAGCAGAGTTTTGTAGTTTTGATGAATGCTTTGGTCATCCTGGATCGGGAGCCGAGAGACCAGAGACCAGGGTACTGCTGATCTTGGTCCGTCACCTAAAGGACTGAATAAAATTTTGGAATCTTGAGTTTCTTCTTTGTAGAATGAGGAGCACATTCCAAAAATGAAGCCCCTGGTAGCTGTAACGTCCTTGGTTATTAGTGGCTGTGTACAACTAGTCAGAGTAGTGCTGCCTCCTAGTGGAGGACATGTGGTACATATCATCATATGTCCTGCTTTTATCAAGCTGTTGACAAAACAGGCCTTGTGCTTCCAGTCATGGAAGAAAGAATTAGGCTAGGAAAATACCAGCATGCCTCTGTGAAACATGTAATTTGGCGTTCTTTACAGACACTCTGAGCATTCAATCAAATGCTTAGAAGAGCATAATAACCATTAGTGGGGATTTTGATATTAAGGTTTTCTTTTATCTTTTGTACTGACTACAATATAAAGTCTTGATATTCATTGACTGCTTAGTCCTGGGCAATTGAAGAGTCTTCATGAGAATATGTAACAAAATTTGTTTAAAATTTTTAATCAATTGCCTTTTTTGGTACCAGGGATTGAAGTTGGGACCTTGTGCTTGCGAGGCAGGCAGCAGAACCAAGTATTTTCACATTTTTAAAGGCAACTGAGGCCGGGGATTTAGCTCAGTGGTTCTGCTGCCTGCCTTGCAAGTACAAGGTCCCAAGTTCAATCCTCAGTACCCCCCCAAAAAAAAGGAGAGAGAGAGAGAAAATACTAGTGGGAGAACTAGGAAGGAAGTTTATCCTTGTACACTAGTATAATTTGTTTGCTTCACTTCTGATTCAGGGAAATCTTAGTGTGGTCATCTGATTTTCTTCATCAAATTTTTCCTTTTTAAATTTTGAGACAGAATTTCTCTAAGTCTTCCTGTCTCAGCCTCCTACTGTGCTGGAATTATAGGTGCACCACCATGCCTGGCATCATCAAGTTTCTAGTACCTGCCAAATGAAATATATACTCAGATAGACTTGGGTTTCAGTCTCAGCTCTACCATGTTCTAAGATCTTGGAAAGTTATTTAACATTCTGAGCCATAGTTTCCTCATCTGAAAACTTTAAAGATAATATGACTTATTTTCTAGGGTTTGGAGTTGAATGAAATTATTATTATTACTTTTTTTTTTTTTTTTTTTGGTACTGGGGATCGAACTCAGGTCCTTGAGTTTGGAAGGCAGGCAGCAGCACCACTGAGCTAAATCCCCGGCCCTGTTATTTTGATTTCTAGATTTAGACTGAACATAGACATATAGACATGACTTATTTATCACTGAGTACCACAACATGTTAAATGGTTGTAATGGCAGGTTAGTTTTCAGTATTGTTTTCATCCCTCAAGGTTTCTTTTTAAATTTTCTAGATTTTAAATTAATATCAAGAGTAAAGCAGTTATTGAACAAAAATCTTTTTTAGGAAATGAGACCTTTACCCCACTAATAAAAGTCTGAAAATAACTTCCTGAGGGAAGGATGGGATTTTAATTTATTTTCTTACTTATTTTTTGGTTTTCTGAGACAGGGTCTCACTCTGTAATTCAGGCTGGCTATGAACTCACTATGTTGCTTAGACTGGTGTTGAGTTCACTGCAGTCCTCCTGCCTCTGCCTCCCAAGTGCTGGGATTGCAAACATCTGCTACCATACCTGGCCAGTGTAGATTTTAAGAGGCAATGAAATTGACTTGAAAGATAAGAATCCAACTGTTTGGCTATAAATACAGGTATACAGTCCAGAATAACCTATGCTAGAAAAGCGGTTGAGGTTAGAATGATTAAGTAGACAATGTGTAATGCTAGCAATATGGAATACCCTGCAACATTAATGTGAATCCTCAAGCGTCAGTGTTCTTGGAAATACCTTATTAAATACAAAAAAGTAAGCCATGGAGCAATGTATAATCCCATTTATAAATATGTTTTAGATTATATTTTTTGTGTGTACTTACATACAAAAACTTGAATAATGGGTATCTTCTAACAAGGTCTGGAAGTATGTATACCAAGTTAATAAACATAGTTACCTCTGAAAAGGAACATGGGGATTTGGGAACTGAGGAACTATGAAGGTAGACTTTTGGTTTTTATTCTTTTTGCTTCTGAATAGTTAAATGTTTTAGCAGAAGAATATGCTTATGCTTAAACAGCTAAAAAAACAAATACTGGAAAAGTATTGGGAATGAGTGTTTTGGACTATAATCTACAAAGTCCATCTTCAGTTATATTTTTAATTTCATCCTGGTTTTTGGCCCCAGCAATTAATTTTATAAAATATAAATGTGCATAATACAAATGTCTATCTCCCTTCCCACAGCTGGCAGAGGCACAGACATAGTTTCATTTCCAGTTCCTTTTCCAAGTTTCTATTTCTATTTAGGGAGCTTTAAATGGTTTATATCTAAGAAGTTTTATGCCATTAATTTTATACTATTTCATTCAGGAAGTTTTGGAGGAGGAAGTAAGAGCAGGAGGGAAGAAGTTGAATAGACAGACTAAGGTTGAGCTTATTCTCTTGGTACCAGGGATCGAACTCTGGCCCTTGCATTTGTGAGTCAGGTGGTGGAACCACTGAGCCAAATCCCTGGCCCCCAGGTTCAGCTTATTATGTACCTCTTATATTGGTATCTTTTACCTGAGGAACTTTTTCCTCTTCAGCTCTATATGAATCAAACAACCAATATAGACTAACTTAATGGTGAACCTGGCATTTGAACACTCAGCTAGGAAAGTTTGCTTTAGTGCATTCACCACTGATAGAATCTTTCACCCAAACAAGCTGCTCTGCAGCTGCCAGCCACATTTGTTCTAGCCAGCATTGTACACATGTAAGAAATATACCTAGTGAAAGAAAAGTTAGGTTTCTTATCACAAATCCTTCACCACTTTTTTTTTTTTGTACCAGGGATTGAACTCAGGACCTTGTGCTTGCAATGCAGGCAGCAGAACCACTGAGCTAAATCCCTGGCCCACCACTTTTTTGTTTATGTTTTTGTGGTGCTGGAGATTGAATCCAGAGCCTTGCAGATGACGGGGAAGCATTCTACCACTGAGCTACACCTCTAGCCCATCGCATTTTATATACTCAATTTTTCTATCCCTAGCTTGATAGGTATATTTTAAGTTTAATATTAAATAATACTTGTCTTATTCTTCACATCCAGTGTAGAAGATACATAAACAAAGAGAACAGAAAAGTCATCCTGAAACCCTTCCCATTTATCCCATGTTAATTACTTGTTAATCGTAGAAAGAACAAGGACAATTGGACAAAAGAAATGAGAAAGTTATGTGCTGAATATATAATAAATAGGGAATAAATAAGCAGATACAGAAGCAGAATTATTGAAGAGTGTGGAAAAAGCTACAGATGTGTAAGAGTTTTCAGATTGGGAAAGCTCTTTTAGTTTATCTCATTGTAAAGCAGATCATGAGCTGAGCACAGCACATATCTATAGTCCCAACTATTTGGAAGGCATGCTTGACCCCAAGGCTTCAGGGCCATCTTGGACAACATAGCAAGACCTTGTGTAGAAGGGGCAGGGAAGAATTAGAGCCAAGCATGGTGGTGGGTGGCTGAGGCAAGAGGATTGCCAACTCCAGGCCAACCTAGGCTGCATAGTAAGACCCTGTCTCAAAACCCAAATTAAAAAAAAAAAAATTATGTGTGTGTGTGTGTGTGTGTGTGT